AGCAAGAAAGAGAACGAGTTTCTACATTATATATTAGGTTGTCCTGGAAGTCTTTGGCCATTTGTCGATTTTTTTTCAAATCCACTTTTCTTCTTTAGGCCAGTCAGCAAATTACAGTCATATGCCCCATCGTGATCGTGAACATATTGCCTTTCAGCAGGTGTTTTTTGGATGTTTTTGGACGAAAAACGCCTATTTTTTCACGAAAAATTTTACTTTAAGCGCACGCCCCGCCCACAGGAGGCGGAGTTTAGCATGGCCAATATATTCCAGTTGTAGAGCGGTAAATACCCTATTAAGGCCTTATTTTTTCCCTGTCTTTAGACTGTTCCGAAGCCAAAAACTGCAATTTTTCAACGAAATTTCGATTTTTGACGCACGCCCCGCCCACTTGGGGTGGAGTTTATGGCCAACATATTCCCGTTGTAGAGCGGTAAGTACCCTATTAAGGCCCTATTTTTTCCCTGACTTTAGACTGTTCTGAAGCCAAAAACTGCAATTTTTCACCAAATTTTGTAATTTCGACGCACGCCCCGCCCACTGGAGGCGGAGTTCAGCATGGCCAATATATTTCCCTTAAAGAGCGACTCATACTCTACCCATTCCAAACTTGACCCGCCCTCCTTAGGTGATTTTTGAAGGAAGAATAATAAACATGTGGGGGACACTTGCGAATTTTTGGGGAGCGGTCAGACAAACAAACTCTGGTTTATATAATAGTATGACTCGTAGTTCATGTCCTATTTTGAACTTTTCGTACGTCATGTGTTTTTATATGTTTTTCGCATAATTCACTTTTGATCTACTTAGATATCGTTTAATTACCCAAGTTTGAGAGCTTCCGTTTATGTCATCGAGTGGAAGCTTGTCGGGAGAGAATTTCTAGTTTCGCAAGAGCAGCTGATCGCTCTGCGAAATAGAAATTATGAACTTCAAGAAGCATTGCAAAAGAAAACTAATGAAGTCTCCCAGCTGAGTTCACCTAGATCCGAAGCCCTGCAATTTGCTAATAAAGCTTATAAACCGTCGTGAAGGAAATAAAGAATGAAATAGCTCAAAAGTATGAAGCCGAGCTCGATGCGCTAAGAATGAAGCTGACCTCGCAAGAGGAGGAGTTTCGCCTGCAGCAGGAGACTTTAATAACCTGAACTGAACAAGGTAATTAGTTTTCCAAAATGAGGCTTTGAACATGGAGCTCGAGCAGTTCAAGGCGGACGGGTCTATTTAGTCATCTCCACAACTGGACAACACCATGTGAGCCGCAACAATTGATTGCGGAACTTAGTGAAACTGTAACAATAAAGTCTCGTGACTCATCTACTGAAGTTGCGACCACTTCCACATCCTGTGTTGGTATACAGTGTGATGAGCTCGGAACACTACATTGCAACGCCGAGACTAATGCGACGGTCGTCTTCCTTCTTCTTCTTCTTCTTATTCTTCAGCGTTTGTCCCGCTTGTTGGCGGGGTCCGCTTTTCTGATGTGCTGTCGCCACTTTTCCCGATTAAATGCTTGGTCGGGGTGGATGTTAACCAACTTCAAGTCTGCGTGCAACGTATCGAGCCAGCGCTGTTTCGGGCGCCCCTTGGGCCGCTTTCCGTGCACGTCTATGTTGAGGCCGATCTTGCGAACACTGTCATCATTTCCGCGAAGAACGTGGCCAAACCAACGAAGCCGAGCTTCGCGCATTTTATCAGCAATGGGAGCTACACCAAAGCGTTCTCGTATGACATCGTTCCGGACGCGATCTAATCGCGTGACACCAGCCGTCCAGCGCAGCATCTTCGTCTCCATTACACCGAGGCGAGTTTCAGTGTCCCTGGTCGCTGGCCAGCACTCAGCGCCGTACAATGCCACTGGTCTTATGACTGTCCTATAGATCTTCGATTTTAGGCGTTCTGGGATTTTCTTGTCACAGAGAACTCCCGTCATAGAACGCCACTTGGACCAAGCCGCACTCACACGCGAGTTCACCTCAGTACTCATACTGCCATCAGACGCAATTGCTGATCCAAGGTACTTGAATGTCGTTGCACGTGTCAGCTCTACTCCATTTATTTTGATAGAACCGCACTCGCTCGTGTCGGTTGTCAGGTACTCAGTCTTCCTAACGTTCAACCTGAGTCCGAACATCGCTAGGCGATCGCACCAAGCTTGCGCTTGTTGTTCGAGTACGTTTTTGTCTTCGCAGGCGAGCATCACGTCATCAGCATAGAGAAGCGTCCATGGAGCCGGTTTCTGAAGATCTCGTGAGATGGCATCCATGACGACAACGAAAAGAAGTGGGGAAGCGCAGAGCCCTGATGTACCCCAACAGAGATGGGGAATTCTGTCGAAACGCCAGCTGACGTTTGCACTCGGCTCTTTGGGCTTGAGTAAAGCATGCGAACCCACTCGATAAGCTCTTCGGGGACGCCATGTTGTCGTAAGGCGTACCATATTACTTCACGTGGAACGCGATCAAAAGCCTTTTCCAAGTCTAGAAAGGCAAAATGCACCGGCTTTTGTTTTTCACGGTGTTTTTCTAGCAGAAGACGAGCGGCGTGTATGGCATCAATGGTGCCGCAGCCAGTCACGAAGCCGCATTGGTTCACGGTAAGCTGGACTATGTCACGAATACGGCGATCTACAATTCGTTCGAATACCTTCATGCTGTGGGAGAGCAGACGAATTGGTCGGTAGCTCGTGCAATCTGCAGGACTCCCCTTTTTCTTCCAAATCGGGATCGTCGTACTCTGTTGCCAACTCTCCGGCACTTTCTTTTCTGCGACGACTTGGTTGAAGAAGTTCGTCAGCCACTCTGCTGGATTCCAGCACTGTGACTTCCACAGATCGGCCGCCAAGTCGTCGGGACCCGTTGCTTTACCTGTCTTCATCTTCTTCAAAGCCGCCTCTGTTTCGCTCACAGTTATCTTCGAGACAGGGCCGTGGACCGGAGGAGCAGAAGGTATTGGCGGGTGTGAGAATTCTACTGTCGAGATTTTCTCGAAGTAGTCGTGCCACCGCTTCACAGCCCTCTTGCGGTCCATTACGAGTCGCCCGTTCTCGTCATTGATGCCAAAGAACTTCTCGATATCTTCGGTCTGGCGATGGCGAGCCTTGGCTAGTTTGTAAATATAGCGTTCGCCGTCGCGCGTCTCGAGCTTCTCGCTAACGCCATCGAGATGAACTGCTCTAGCAACAGCCACAGCTTTCTTTGCTGCCTTCTTCGCGCTCTGATAGTTGTTCCAGTTATCGCTTGACTTGTCACCGAGAAACACTTGGTAGAGCCTTTTCTTCTCCCGTACTTTTTCTCTGACAGTGTCGGTCCACAGCCATGTCTGCTTGTCGATTTTCCGCCGTCCAGGCTTCGTAATGCCAAGCTCGGAGCGAGCAACACGGACTATCGCTTCTGTGGCACGTTTCCATGTTTCGTCGACAGTCGTTACTGGCGGTAGCCGAATGCGACTGAACAGAGCGGATTCCTTTTCTTTCAATCGCCACCACTTGATCCTTGCAGGCCCACACCGTTCGGCTTTCTTGGTCCTTGGAGGGGCAATCTTTAATGTGCAAATCAGTGGTCGATGTTGCGTAGCGACTGTCTCGTACGGCACTGTCTTCGCGTCCGTCACTAGCCCTCGATCACGTTGCCTGACAAGAACGAAATCAATCTGAGTTCTGGTATTACCGCTGTAGAACGTGATGAGGTGTGAGTCACGTTTACGATAGTTTGTGTTCACGATGGTGAGATTGTGAGAGCTTGCATATTCAAGAATTCGCTCACCATCGGCGTTTCGTGACCCATAACCAAACCCACCATGACAACTATAACCATCTTTCGCAGATCCAACGTGTCCATTAAGGTCACCTGCGACAATGATAGCGTCCTCCGATGGTACCTCAGCGGTTTTCTCATCTAACAGGGCCCAGAACTCGTCCTTGGCTCGTTCGGAGCAGCCAGTCTGTGGAGCGTAAGCAGAAAAGATGTGGTATTGACGCTGCTCCATAGCAACAACGATCTTCATCAAGCGGTCATCGTAACGTTCGACATTCGCAATAGAATCGCGGAAACGTTCAGAGACAACCACACCGACGCCGCTGGTTGTCCTGGGACTGCCACAGAGAACGACTTTGAAGCCGCGGCCAATGTCCCTCGACTTGCAGCAGCAGGACCACCTCGTTTCCTGCACGGCACAGAAATCAATTCTTCGGCGCTCCAGTGCTTCTACCAACTCGCACGAGCGACCCGTCAATGTGCCAACATTTCAATGTTGCAACGCGAACCTTCCATACGTTGCGGGACTTTTGGACTAGCCTAGTTGCCCCCCGATGCCGTCCTTGCACCGGAGACCCTCGCATACTTTTCACACTCGCCGGGCTTTGCGAGTGCGCGTCGGCTCCCGCGGACGCCGTAGCATTATCTCGATACTCATATAGCGACATGACATTTGTGATGTGACGTGGGTGTTCGTAGGCCGGCCTGTCACGGGGGCCTGTCGCCTGCATTCGAATGTCCGCGTTTAGCTCAGCTCACAAAGTGAGCAGTTTCCAGTGCACCACTGGAAGAACGCCGACAAACACCTACCAATCGACGTACGTCTGCTCACCAAATAAAACGAAATCGTGTTCAAACTGATGAAGGAGCGATCGTGCCAGCATTGGAGAACAAGTTACTGGAATACAAGGATACAATGACGGAGCTTGAGTGTTCTGTGAAAGAGCTAGCTTCTGAAAACGCGAGGCTGATATCAATTGTGCAGGGAAGAACCTAAGTAGTTCTCTACTAGATCATTCAAACTGCTTGAATGCGATTTGCTGAGAAAAATATGATTTCTATTTTCCCATGCTTTACGGGCATTATCGACCATAAGGAAAGCACTGGACAAGAAAGCGTCTCTATCCCAGAGCATTGCGTTGATGGTGAACAACTAGATAAGGAAGCTCTTATGATCTTCGGAATACATTTCAAGAGCTCGAACCACAAATTTCTAAGGCCTTTGATGAGAAGGCCGCTACAGAAATGTTGGTGTCAGATCTTCAGGCAAAAGTTGAAGCTGTGCAAACCAAACTCATCCAGGTAGAGGATGCTCGCGAAGTGGAGAGAACTCGTGCAAGCGAAGAAATCAATTCACTCTCAGCAAAGTTGCTTAAAGTGCAGGAAGCTCATGATTCTGAACTGAAAACGATTACAAGGGAATCATCGACTACCTGTGATGAGCTAAGAGCCAAAATTGCTGCACTGGAAGAATCAGGTAGCAAACTTTCTGATGACAAACTTTTGCTGCTTGAAACTCGATATCAACTCGAGTTAGCTGACCGTGAAAACGCGTTTAAAAGTGAAAAAGAGGAAATGCAACGGAAGATGTGCTCTTTGGAGTCTTCACTATCAGCCAAGGACGAAGAAAAGGCATTGGCACTGAAGAAGCAGGCGGCTCTAATCAAAGAATTGCAACGTGCTGTCAAAGAAGAAAAGAAACGCGCTGAATCTATGGAGAAGCTCGGCCGTTGCTGTTCCGAAGAAAGAGGGTGGCATTTAGTCGGAGAAAGTGGTGCAAAAAGTGCACAGACATTGGATGGCGCTTACAGTCGTAGTGTATCATCAGCAAGTGCCCTGGAATCAGACAATTTCGAACTCATTAGCAGGCTGACGACATTGCAAAGAACACATGCAGAGACTCTAGATCGCCTGAATGCGCTCGAGAACGAGAATGCGCGGTTGAACAGTGAAATTAGTGAGAAAAGTGAATTTTATCGAGCACTGGATTAGGAGACGACCGCTAGCACAGGGCGCTGGTGTCACGACGCCATCGAAAACGGAAGGAACCTTCCGAAAACTCTTGCTCTCAACATTGCCAACAGACGAGGCGACGAATGATATCAGAGAAATGAATAAAAAACTACAACGCATGTTGGAGGAGACATTATCGAAGAACATCATTCTTCAAAGGTATCTGCAAACACTCTTGAAACGAACAGAAATGTAAATGGCCTCATGCAGAAGGTCGCT